GCCGCAAAGTACTCGATAAAGGTGTAATGCAGGAAATGAGGCATTTCATCATCATCTCCCAACCACAATATTCCGGTTTTTTCTTTAATCAGTTTATATCTGTTTTTGTCCAGGTAGTCTCTGAATGGCGAAGAGTCAACATTGTTGAACGTACCATTGGAGACCTGCAAAAAAAAAAAACGTCCATTACGGGCGTCCATTTTGGGCAACTGAATTTACATAAGATTATTTCAAAACGCAACATATGCGGTTGTGGATACTCGTAATGTCTACTTTACTTTAACTGAATTAATATGTCATTTATAATGATTTATACCATATTGTTATTTATGAAACAACCCCAGTTTCTTGACACATTTAGTGCAATATATATTTTCCTAATGATTCTAATTTATTGCTTTATATTGGCTGAAAGAATTAGTGGGAGTGTTATTACTTTACACTATATTCTAACTGAAGATTACTATTAAAACTAAACTTTTCTACTACAGTTATATTAATTTAATTTCCACTATTTTTAAAATTGTCTGGCTTTTCCGGCTTTTGCTGTGAATTTATGTACTCTTTATTTAAAATCAACACAAAAGTCATGGAAATATACTGTAAAACAAAATATGGATGGAAGAAATGGTTGATACAAAAGTTAGATGGAGAAATTGGCGTCTTGGCCATTAATTTAAAGAAACCATAAGTATTGGCGTAACTATTAGCAAAGCATACGCAGATTGTTTGGAAGAGAGAATGAAGAATCTTACGTAGAAATATTTTGTAAAATACATGAAAAAGAGTAGGCCTACTTATAAGAGTTTCCCCCAGGGACTTTACAAGAAATGTTTTATTGACCAAAAAAATAATTTTTGCGTTCTCATACATACGAATCATTCCATTTTCAGTGACCCAGAATTTAATAAATCAATCGCCTCGGAAAAAATCATAATTCCCTTATTTTGTTGTTCAAAATCGTATAAAAAGGTTAATGTAAGTGGTTCCCTATGGTGACCTTTTCGTTTTAAGTCGAACGCCATTAAAATAGTTTATAGCCATTTACTGGTTAGCAAATTACTCAGCGCTAGTTGGTTTCCAAACTAAAATGCATTGGTTTCAGTAAACTCTGATCTAAAATCAAAGTAATATTTATCTAATATGTTTACTTGCATCGTATTTGCAACCAAAACTAATGAATGCGAATGAACAACACTTCGATTTTCAGAGTAAGAATAGAGTCGCAACCTGGATATTTTCTGAACTTTACACACGACAGTGTACCTATTTTGCGTAAAATATCAACGATAAATAGCGTATCTTAAAAATTATTTTGTTTGTACTTGGCGCGTTGGCCCGTGTACGGCTTAAGGCCTATCAGCGACGTCCCGGCCTAGCGGCTGTGGGTTAAGGGGGTACGTGTGGCTAGCACGAAGATATCCCCACGTCTGCCCAGTGTGATAAGTGAATTTTTTCATCGTTTTTTTTCTATCCGAGTTGGTCAATAATTTAACCGTACACATTTTGAATTTGGCGCCAATCATGTAAACCTAAATATACAGGAATATTCTATATATACTTCTACGAATCAAGTGTCAGTTAAATAGAAATATAGATAGCTAGAATGATACTCTTTACAAAAGAAGAAGAGAACTCTTTAAAAAACTAAACTATGATATGTCTTGCACCGAATTTCACAAATTTTATAAACAATAAGAAGCAAGTATGCTTACTAAAGAAAGCCGTTTCAAATGCGAAATATAATTGGAAGAAAAGTTAGTTTTTAAAAATAAATATTACAGAAAAGTAATATAGAGATTCTATTTTTAATGTAATCATTTATTATTAGTTTTATAGATTGTTGACTTTAGAAATGTAATTTATTTGATTGTTTCTAAAATAATAAATTAAAAATATGATTGTACAATTAAAAAATGTGTAAATGTTAAATAAAACATACCCTACCCCCGCTCATGGAAATCTCCGGGTGAGTATGTGTCAACTATACAAATGGCTAAAAGTATGGCTAAAATACGCATCGCGCATCATTAGTACATTTATGTACAATGTGGATACACTGAATTCAATGGCAAAAAGCTGTTTTCGTTTAAACTTTAAATTAAAAAATATTGTATTTGTCACGTTTCACGAATTTTCAAACAGTCAATAACGTGAATGAGAAAAATTGACATATTTTGATATTACATAGCTATTAGCAATATCGCGAGAGAGTACGTGCAATTGTAGCACGTTTATTTTTATTTTGTATGCCTCTGTTATTGTACAGCACGGTAGATTTGAGTACAAAATGGATGAAAAATAGGAATGGCTGAGAGTACTCCTTGCCAACACTTCCCCAAAAATATAGAAATGAAGCATTATCGCGGAAATTTTCAATTTACTTTCTCCCTCCTAAAGAGAAAATTATGTAATCGTACACTGGAAAACGGTGAATTTTCGACAGCACAACTCGTATTGCCGGCCCTTTGTTTACGAGCAAGTGGATATATCCAGTTGCTATATATTGTAACGGTACAAGCTCCTGCGTTGGAAAATGTACATGAAAAAAATAAGAAAAAAATAGCAGACGCCCGCGACGCAGCTGCGAAAAAGGGGGGGGGGTCGTAGGCATTCGCGCCCGTCCGTCTATTGAGGCGAGGGTTCCATAAATGTTTATGGCAGGACACCCCCGCGCCAATATGTCAAGTGTGCTGCCTATTCAAGCGACCGCTCATAAAAAGAACCCCAACGCTGAGTGCGCCTCCTCGGGGGGAGGGGAAGAATTTATGACCACATGGTCAGCGGCGCACGTGCGAAGAAAAAAAAGGGGGGCCGATAGTTTTTTACAACAAAAACGGACATTCTGGCCGTTAACAAAGAGTTCCCGTGTGATTGGTCAGACACACGCCTCCACCCTGCTCCGGGAAATTCAACCCCGAGTATCGGGAGGATACAATTTCTTTGAAGGGAGGGGGTACCGAGGTGTGATGTTACTAGGCCGCCGCTCGGTAAGCACTTGATGGTTGGAGACGGCCGGGAGCGGTCGATTGACTGGATGGCAGGAGACGGCCGGGAGCGGTCGATTGACTTGATAGTTGGAGACGGCCGGGAGCGGTCGATTAACTTGATGGCTGGAGACGGCCGGGAATAGTCGATTAACTTGAGGGCTAAAGACGGCCACGGGAAGTTACTCGATTCGATTGTTCGGTCACAGTTATTCACTTCGATTGCTCAGTCAATCAAGTCAAGCACTCGAAGCATATCGCGGAGGGAAGTTCAGTAACTTCCATTTATAGCCGATGAATACCGTGGCTGCCTGAGGTTGGAGACGCCGACTGGAGTAGCGAGCCCGGCGACATCAAACGGCTACGCTGGGAGCCCCTGTGTTCACCGCCTCCGCCTGGAAAAGGGGGCGGCCCGAACCGAGACGACGGGCGACTACACCACCGGGCGTGCACAGAGGCCCGCCAACAGAAACCAAGGGTAATTAATCCGCTTGGCTCCCGCATAAATGCGGTAGAACATTTTCTGAGCGAAGCGAGGGGGTGGAAAAGGTAATATCAAAAAAAAGTAACCATGACGACCCGTTGTTGACGAACCTTGTCAGAATAAAAGAAAGGGTCGTGTGATATTTTTATAAAAAAATGTAAAGTAATTGTAATCATCATCATCATCATCAATTCTTTTTAAAGTAAATGCTTGTTCATGCAAATATTATCGACCATTATTATTATTATTATTATTGAAATTCCCATTCCCGTTCCACAGAGACGCGTGTGGCGTTACAATATATATATATATATATATATATATATATATATATATATATATATATATATATATAAAATCCTCTAACTCGCGGTGTAGCCAGAATCAATTTTTGTGGGTCCCTAATATCGAAAAATCGATTGACGGCAAAACGTTCGTCAGTCAGGCTGTGGACACCGCTTGCGCCTAAATTGTTCTGCCGATTTTTTCCCCAGAATTGGTAATCCCTGATCGATCTGAGTAAATTCGAGACTTTGGGAGTTCCAAATGGATATTTTAATTTTTGAGGGTACTTTTCATGAAGCTTCAAAAACATTTTCAACATTTTCTCAAAAATGTTTTGAATTTTTCGTGAAAGTTTGTTCGTGGATACTGTAATGGACCCTTGAGAGAATGAGGCAGGTCACATATTTGTTGAATTTTTTTGTATAGCAAAAGTGCAGTTTTTTGGGCGTCTTCCTGCATCTATAATATCTAAAATAGAAATATTTCCTCAATGAAATATGTTCCATAAAGACATCTTCAAATAAGCTCTTGTTTAATTTTTGGTAGTTTTCGCGTAATTTTGGGTGAAACATACAAATTTAAAAAAAATAAGCAATTTTTTTTCTAATACACCATTCTAGATTTGTTCTTTAAATTTTGCTCTGATATATAATAAGGGACGGTAAAAAAAGTTAGGCTAGTCCAATTTTCTGCGAACTCTATTTTTTCGAAAATTCCAAAAAGGTAACACTTCAGATCCACAAAATTGAAGATAGAGATTTTTGCTTCAGACAATGTTTAAAAAAATCAGATCTTTCAAAAAGTGTCATGTACAAGATTTTGAAAAAGCGCCTAGTTTTAGCGTAATGTGCGTTTGGAATTTACGAAATTAAAAAAAAATATTTTCTCAAACTCGCTTCAAAAGTTTTCTTTATTTTTTTTCAGAGATCGAAGGGACGTTTAAAAATGGCGAGGGTCTATTTGTTGAACTCTCTGAATTTTCTAAAATTTAGAAATAATGCGAGAAGGTGTCTGCTGTTGTAGTTTCACTGGTTTTCTGATATGGGCGAGCGAACTTAGCTGGACCACTTAAATCGACTCACACATACGAGCCTTCTTATTGCAGCATTGACAATTATATTGCTTCGAAACATATTCTGGATGTACGTATTTTGTAATTATTCTGCAAGGTACTATTATAACTCTGAAGTGGGTTGTAGGATTACGGACCAATCGGAGTTCGACAATTTTGGTGCTGAACTTACCAGTACGAGCATAGCACAGTTTTGGTGGATCTCTTCGAAGTTTTCTGCAAATGGAAGATGGTCAAAATTTGCATCTTTCAGTCCAAAGCGTCTCTCGTACAAGTCCCTCTTCCTCTCCACGAAGCGACGGTAGAGCTGGTAGAGACTGATGGCGGACTGCGGGAGCAGGCTGACCCCTGTGCCCAGGGCCCGTGCCGCCTGCGTTGCATACGCCTCCGCCGCCATCTGCGCGTGCAGCGGGACGTCCAGCAGGCTGCGTTGGCCGCGCCCCGCTGCGCCGTGCAGGGCTGCCACCATCTCGGCGGCGAGGGCCTCGAACGCCGCAGGGGGGCGGTTGCGTGGGTCGACAGACGACCAGTGTCTACACAGGTGGTTCTTCTGCTCCTCTTCGGAGAACGGACGAAGCGACGATGTGGCGCAACGTAACGCATTAGTGAGAACAAGCTCAGCCTGAAGAAAAACACCATTTCAAGGTTGATGCATTTGTGTAAGTTCACTAGCTATTCGTAAGGTATACGTTCTTAAATATTTTTCCTAAATATCAGATTAAGGGAAAAATATATTTTGAATTAAATCTATTTTCTACGGAGGTTACGGGACATGCCATTGACTTCGACAAGACTCGGCTCCTGTACAAGGAAAACCGATACTGGCCGAGACGCATAAAAGAGGCATTAGAAATACACAGACGTCCGCAAAACATCAACGCGGACGCAGGCCTCGCTCTTAACCACGCCTGGAAATCCCTCGCTCCATCAATTCGGGACCGGCAGGGGACTGTTCAACACCGTCCGACCACGGGGACGTCTGGCGCAAGGCCCAGGTTGGCCCAGACCGCCGGCCAATCAGGGAGACCTCTCCTCCAATCACAGCGCACCTGCCCCTCCCGAGAGCCCAGGCAGGATAGTTTAAATCACCGGGCGCGTAGCGCCGCAGTGTCACTGCCCTGAGGAAGCCTGCGACATGTCAGGCGAAACGTCGGCACCCAGCCAAAGACCGGATAGCCGAGAATTCATGGATTCGAGCCGCGGAAGCTTACGTATAAATCTATTTTCTATTCAAAATTAATGAATTCTATAATAGATCTCCCATCATTTTAATTATATTAATAGGAAACCCTTGTAGTGGGACTTATTTCAAAAATGAATTTATTCTGTCACTTTGGTGGAAAATTTATCGTTTCATTCAAACTTTATTATTTCTTTATTCTTAACCTTTATTCCTACCAATCTCAGTTTCATTTACACTTTATTCTTATGATAAATATTAAAACATTATAAGAATGAAGCAATTTCAGAAAAAAATCAAATCTTTTTTACCTCCGGGCGCGATGAGACCCACACCAGCTTCACTTTTGTCTCCAGCAACAGTTGCAAGAGTCGGAGGAGTTTCTCCTTGTATGAAGGGCAAATCTCGTCCACGCCGTCGACGAAGACGGCGATGTCTCCCGACTCGTACAGAGCAGCCTTGAGGAACCTCTGCGTGGACTCGGGAGAACTCGAAGCCGCGACCCCCGCCGCCGCCGCCAGCAGCTCCACCAAGTGCTCCTGCGTCAAGTCTGCCACGCAAAGACGACGTAAGACTTACTGATTCAATCTCACCGATCCGATTCTGAGAAAGAGTCGATAGTGCTGTTGTAAATGTTGCAGTCACGCAAAGAAGCGGTCGTGATACATTGGTTCAGTACCACAGATCTGGTTCTTCGAAAAAGTGAGTAGTTTCATCCGTGCCAGCCACCAATAGTCCACCTAGAGCTCGTGCGTTAAATCCGTCTCACAAACAAGCAGATGTAAGACATGTTGACGGTTAACAGCGATTTGAGTATGAGCGTTTGGCAACTGTTTTATTAGAGAAGGGTTGTTGTTTTTCCTTCAGATCACTTGGAGATCCAAGAAGATGGAAAGAAATATCCCTTGTATAAAGAGTATACTAAATGTATTATAAGGTGACATCGAAACAAAAGTCAGTAAATTTGCTGTTTCCTGGTCAATAAATGATCCTCTAAAAGGACGTAGAAGGGTTTTAAGTTCGAAAAATGAAGAAATAGAAGTGTGTCGATAATGCACTGAAGAAATAACCTGCGGACTCATAACAGTCATCCATCACGTTTCCATCCTGCATAACTTTTAGACATTCCTCCTACGTGATAAAAATTCTCTTCAGGACCCTTTTCGACTTTCTATTCTATTTTCAGTGGATTAACTTCTCTGGATACCCATACTCCGTAATACAGGCGATTAGAAACTCGCATAATCTGGAAATACACATGATCTATATGATGTAACTCACAATCTAAGACGCAGCCATTGGAAATTCCAGAGAGTGGTACCTGGCGGTTGGGGGAAGTCCCTGAGGAGGTTGCTATGGTCGAGCACCTGCAGCAGCACCGCCCACCGCTGCGCAGCCTCGGCCGCCAGGCGTTGCAGGAAGCGGCTCTTGCCCATCCCGGGCTCCCCCACCAGCAGCCCCACGCGCCGCCTCCACGCGGCCGCGTGCCGCACTGCCTCCGCCGCGTGCACGCACGCGGGCGCACGCCCACACGCGTCGCTCGCACGCTGCACGAACGGCGCCACGGCCTGCGTCGCCCCTCGCGTGGCCTTCCACACCACCGCCCCCACGCCCACGCAGTGCAGCCAGTGCACGTTGAGGCCCCTCCCCTCCGCGCGGGCGACGGCGCGCAGGAAGGCGGCTTCTTGGGCGCTGCTGCCCCCGGCGCCAGGCAGCACCGTCCACCTGCGCATTCAATAAACCTAGAATATATTCTGGGATGGATTATCCCGGATTTTATGAAAGGTCATCGCATAAAGAACACAGCCACAATGGAGGTCATTATTGACGACAAATTAAAATGTAAAAAGAGGAGTGAAAAACCTTTCACAGCCAACTAAACCTTTGAAGCTCGAGTATAACCATCCATCATAAAATATGATTTTTGTTGTGTATTATTTCTAAGACGTTAAAATATCATGAAGGAAGAATATTGGATTTGATAGACCATACAAAACATTTACATTTTTTCATGAAAATTTACTTTCGTTATTCAAGTTGTAGTTATAAAATAATACCTACAAGAATAAGATGCTATATTTTGGGATGGATTATTCGAGATTTTATTTTTAAAAAAAACCATCGCATAAAGAACTCCAAGTAAGCAACAATGGAGGTCAATATTGGCGACAAATTAAAATGTAAAAATAGTAGGAAGTGGCTAATGTAATAAAACGACGGAAGTTAAAGTGTTAATTTTAGCTATGGACACGTGAGAAATTAACGTGGACAACAATATGATTAATAAATATAAATATGGAACAGAAAACTTTACCGGATGTCAAAGAGTAAATTCAGTGATAGGTGAACAAGTAATACGCCAATCAAAAGGGACACGGATATTAGACAATTGAAGGGAATGCACAAAAAGTAGCATGAAGAAACAACTTTTGGACGCGATCGAAGATAAAGAAGAGAAGGGAAAGGCGGACTTACAGGACACAACGAGCAGAGCGGTAATCGCAAAATAAACGATGATAGTTAAGTGATTCCGGCCCCGTCAACTACGAGGGTCATTAGTCCCGTAAGTGTAATGCATGTTTTTACTCGAGAGGTGGCGGTGATCCTTCCCCCGCTGTACGGCGATATCCGGCGCCGCCCTACTTTCTGATAGCGGGGTTTTCCCCGACTAGGTATCTCCCACCTGCGCGGCTCCGTGCCAGCCGGGACATGCTCTAAGCTCCCGTCGGGTCTCCCGGCACGCGTGGCAATGTAGTGCGTGTTAGCGTAAGTTGTGTGTAAGGGGAGAGAATAGGACAAGGAAGAAGTAGGAAAGATCGCGCGCGGTCCGTGGCCCGTTTGGTACTACTCCGGCATTCGCCTGGTGTTTATCGGAGAAAACCACGGAAAACTACCGATCAGAGCAGCCGGTCGCTGGAATTCTCCTCCAAACAGCGACTGAATTCGACCTAGCTGACAAGCTAGTGTCGAAAATCCCGCCAGCGTCGGGACTCGCACCTAGGACCTCCCGATGAGAGAGACTACAGTGATGTCAGTTCATGCCCTGAACCACCTCTTCCGGTGCGGATAGAAAGAGTTGTGGTAGAAAAAATTGTGAGCGCAATTAATTTGCTAGAGCTTTGTTTTTCGGAGTTGAATAATATAATTGTAAATGGATGTTGAAAATTTGAAAAACGAATCGTGGTTATGAAATCGACTCACTAAACGTTTTTAAAAAATTCGAATGATTACCAACCAAAATAATTTAGCGTTGCAAATGAATGTCTTACAATTTCTAGTTCTATTAAATTAATTTTATGAAATAGTTGATTCTCGCCTAAGGAATTTTTGAATTAAATTTCAACTCACCATTTATTATTCTTTATCGCTGCATCGTTCACTTCTAGTTCTTTGTCTCCATGTTCCTCTTCAGTTACATCTCTTCTTTGCGACTCAGGTTTTGCACTTCTGCCGTCTTTAGAACTGAGTGTATTGTACAGCTTCGTAAGGAAAGGCACAGGAAATCCGCTCAAGACGAGATGGTCGCTCCGCGGGTCCAGCCCCTCCAGAACGGCCGGGTCGAGGGTGGCGGGGTGCTCCAGGGTGCGGGGGAGGTCGAGGTGGGAGTCTCCCGGGGCGGGCAGCGCCGCGCCCATCGCCGCCCCCCCGCGCACCAGGGCGCTCAGCAGGGCGCCGTCCACGTCCCCTCGCACGGAGCGCCACGAGGGCTCCAGGGCACGCAAGGGCACCGAACGACCCTGCACAGACACACACGCTCTATGAGGGCTACACATCGTCACACTCATACTATTCATTTCATCCACTAGGACGCCGTCCACGTCCCCTCGCACGGAGCTCCACCGAGGGCTCCAGGGCACGCAAGGGCACCGGACGACCCTGCACAGGCACACGCTCTATGAGGCATTTCCCAGGGCTAGACATCGTCCCACTCATACTACTCATTTCATCCTCCAGGGCGCCGGCCACATCCTCTCCCGCAATATCGTTATGTCTCGAGTATCGCTAACTTCATACAGATGTGTTAATACTATGACATTAAGGTCCACTCAGGGCTTTTTTTCACAACATTGATACCTATTAGTAGTTACACTTTTACATTGTGCAGTTACGGGCTTCGTCATGACGGCCGAAAAGCTCGCAAACATTCAGGAAGCCCCTTTTTTAGCCTTGACCGAGGATGCTTACTCTTTCTTTTAGTGAAGGTCGATGGGGAGGAAAATTCCAAACTAACTCGTGAGTTCTTCAACTGGCGTGAAAAGCGGAAGAGAAAACTGAGAGAGTTCGTATTTTTTAACTGCACAGGGATGAGGACGTTATCCCGTCCTCCCTGGCAATGTGTCTCCCGATAGATACTGAGTCGGGATCACTCTTCTTCATAGGACAGGATTCGCTCTCCTGCGTGAGAGGATCCGCCATGATTTCGAACAGAAATGCCTCACTCTATGCGTATCGCTTGTCTTTGTACTCGTGCATGTGGTTGCGTGAAACTGCACACGTGACCATCTAATCGTGTACCACTTAAACCAATACCGTGGCTCCGGTTGTGGACTATACGATGGCAGTATGGCCCCACGACCCTCGTGCGTTAACTAAACCCATCCAGCATCTTAATAACACCCTCTTCTAAATTTAATTCACTACGACGGTGGAACACGAGGGCAAATTGCATGATGTTGGTCAGTCGGAATGCAAAGGTCTGTCTAGGTTTCTAGTGTTTATAGGAAACTGACCCTATCAACCGTGACGTACCATCATCCGGCCATGACACAAGTACAGCTGACCACGTCATTCTATTTTACAACACCAGCCAGGAGAGACAGTTAGAGGTAAAAGAGGCGGTGGAAATCATCGAAGATTCCCAAATCTTGAATGCTGGCCAAGGCGTCTTCTGCACGTGCTTCTCCACGACGCCTGGAAACAAATTTTTACAGCGATTTTCGGTTATGTCAAGGCGCGATTCACGCTGCTCCTTGACGTCCGACTACATAATACTCCTTTCCATCCGCCCAGAGGAACCATTGACGATTGGCTGATACTTTCTCCCCATTTGATGCAGTGTAGACAAGATCGTGGTAGACGATTTCCTGTACCATAGCGTTCGGTCTCACCTGGTTTGCCTCAACAATATTTTGGCACAATTCCGCTTGGGAGTTTGACCATCCACCGGATCTCGCCCCACCCCCAGCAATTTACATCTTTTCTTACTCCTTAAGAAATCTCTGCCCAGTCAGCACTACGCGATTTTTACTGAAGCAGAACTTCAGGTAGCGTTCTAACACTCGTACGTATTCCAGGCTGCAGACTTCTTCGACTGGAGTGCAGACACTTATCATAGAAACAAATGTTCCAATTCTGGCGATAAGTATGTGGAAAAATCATGTACTGAATCTACTACAATCAAGTTTTCAAGATTTTCCTCCCGTGAAATTCTGTTGACGACCTAAAGAAACTTACCTTCTGGATGCGCCTCGTAAATCAAGTACTGACCTGCAAATGGAGAGTCCGCTCCATGAGTGCATCTTGAGCCTCCAGCGTCAGG